TAACACACCCAGGCGTTATTTTGCGACACTCAAGCGACGTATGGCCTGGAAATCGATACAAAAAATAATGCCTAGCCTATTTTTTTTTGCCGTGAAGTCTTTTGGGTAACTAGAACTTTCGTTAAAGTGTCATGATGTTAGTTACCGTGTTTGTTTCCTGCTCGAAAATAAGACCGGGTTGTATCCTAATTCTTGTTTCGAAAGACTCATAGGGGCTTTTTGTTTTTTAGGAGATAACTTCCTTTTTTTTTTAAATGAATAAAAATGTCCATTTATTTAGGTACTAAAATTTACATTTATTCAAGTATAAGAAAAAGTTCAAGGTTAAAGCTGACAGACCTAGCCCTTAAATGTTTTGACATTACTAATAACAAACTTGACAAACTAGCTGACCTTTCATTGATGCTTGCTCAGGCTGGTCAACGTTTCTCAAGGTTAGCGGGGTGCCTGGTATAATGCTGTATCGGGAAGCATTCTGCGTTGCCCGTTAATCATTACTCTGTGAGGAACGGCCGCCCACATTGCGTTCTCACTCGTAAGCAGAATTAGTGTTCGTCGGTGGGTATATGTTAGCCGTCTAGGATTTTCAGTAGGAATTGAGTTTATTCCTGGTGTCAGCGCTCCCGGTGGGTAGTGTCAGCTGCAGCAACACTGCGTTTTGCGGGCCACCGCAAAATGTTAGAAGTCTGAATCCACGGGATATAGAATGTTTTCTTTCGTGTGACCTAGGTTCAGTGTCTGGGTTAGTGGGGTTGGGTTTAGGGCCAATTATACATGTTATGGGGTCGTTAAAAGCGCTGACATCTTGTAGTATGTAGTGCACGCGTGGTCGCCGGTAGCAGCATCGGCGTAATAGGACGTCGCAGCAAGTTGGCACATCTGCCACTTGAACGCGCGTCTCAAAGGTTAACACGCATGAATAAACGTCCAATCACAGTGACCTAGCGGTCTTCGTCACTCTTAGGTGTATGGCTGGGCCTGAGTTTTTTAAATGTTCTGTTTTTTTGCTTTTGAGATGGGTCCAGTTCACGTTTCCCGGCCCATCTAAACACTGGCTGACCGTTCATTTACACTTTCTCAGGCCGTTCTACGTCAGAGGAGTGTCGTGTAGTCTTGCCTCCAGTTACATTAGTGCTGATGTCGCGTGTTCTATACTACACGACGACACAAATCAAGAGGTTTTCCGAAGGGTTGTTATGGTAACAAGGTTCTGCAAAAGACATGCTACTGACTGACTGACTGACTGACTGACTGACTGACTGACTGATTGACTGACTGACTGACTGGATGTTAGTTGCGTATTCTTTACGGGACGTTGCAGAACCTACTCCATAAATTGTTGGCTGTTGTGGGTTTTCTTTTTACATTTCGTAGTTTGCCATTACTAGTACCGTTGTCGAAACAAACGCAAGACGGTCTGCTACCAAATTACCTGCAGCGGGATCCAACCCCGCACCCTGGTATTACGAAGCGCGCCCGTAACATCTAAGCAACAGACACTCTGTGTGCAAGCGGGACATGAATGAAACAGGTATTGAGGTGGACTCATGGGAACAAAATCCCATTGACCGTGTTGTGTGAAGAGGGAAAATCAGAAAGGGAATGAGAGTGAAGGAAGAAATGGTTGCAGAAAGGATAAGAGCTCAGCTTCTGAGAAAAAACGGATTAAACACAGATGTTGACAACAATGGTCCTGAAATCCCACGCTATAAGTGTAAAAGACTTTTCTTGACACGGGCAGGT